TATCAGTTGAAGTCTAACAGAGGAAATATGCAATAAATAGAAGATAAACTATCTCTGCATTTACTTGCACTTTTTCTGTTATCAATTAGGTTGAGATTAGAAAATACAATGCATGGCTAAAACTCTTCTTCGTTTGTTTGGTACGATGAAAATATTTTCCACATAAATATTTTGTCGCGATAAAATCTTTTTTTGTTGTTTAGTTATCAAAAAACATCGTTGAGGAAATATTGTTTTTGACAAATTAAATATTTGACTCTTACTTTATATTATTTGCTTCAACCAACACATAGACATTATTATCAATCGTCTAATGCCCAATATTTCATGAAATTTTCAATGTGAAATACTATCAAATTATTAGACAATATATTCGTTCTTAATAAATATTTTGTTAAAGATACTTTTACTTAGCCAAAAAACCCTATAAATATTAATATATTTTCTCAAAATTATATTTTGAGGAAAACATTTTCCTTGGTATCAACACAAATTAAAGAAGATATTACCGTCCATCACTAGGTATTACCCACTGGCAAGAAATTTGATACTCCTTTAAAAAAAGAAAGTAGTTTAGGTCAAAGTTGAAAGTGTTTGGCGTTTTTTCTTTTAAAGGGAAAGTTAGATTTGGTAAAGTAACATGTGAATTAGGACAAAAATAAGAGCAAGTGGAAAATCTATATATATATATATATATATATATATATATTAAAGCAAGAAAGTTACCATATACTATTGATATTTATTAGCTTGCCACTTGCTCTTATTCTATATTTGACTATTTTAGTTAAATACAAATATATATATATATATATATATATAATATAATTATATATTAAGCAAGAAAGTTACCATATACTATTGATATTTATTAGCTTGCCACTTGCCTTATTCTATATTTGACTATTTTAGTTAAATACAAATAATATAATAATATAATAATATATATATATATAATATATATATATTATATTATTATCGGAATTTGAATTAAAAGATATTTTGAATTATAGATAAAGTTCTAAAATTCGAATTTAAATTAAAATAAAATTTTTTTTTTTTATCATGTTATCATAATTAATTGGTTTAATGATCATGTCATGCATCATGTTAGGAATTTTTTTTTCTAATTATTTAAATACTACTACTTCGCCTCTAGCAAACAAAAAAACTACTCCATATAACTATAAAATCTTTCACATTTAAAATCCTATAAGTAATTCTTTGAAACACTGTAGCTAGATTTGAATAAAACGAAATTCTTTTAAAATAAATATAATATATAGGGTACTATATTTGACTAATAGTATATGGTAACTTTATTATATATATAATAATACTATATACATATAATATAGTATATAACTAAACATATAATATATATATATATATATACATATATATATATATATATATATATATATATATATATAGATGCACACATACGGAATTTGAATTAAAAGATAATTTTGAATTTATAGATAAAGTTCTAAAATTTAAATTTAAATTAATAATAAATTTTATCTTTTTTTTTTCATGTTATCGTACTTAATTCGGTTAATGATCATATGCAATCATGTTACGAACTTTTGTTATTTTTTCTAATTATTTAAATACTACTTCGCCTCTAGCAACAAAGAAAAAAACTACTCCATATAACTATAAAACTCTTTCACATTTAAAATCGTATAAGTATAGTTCTTTGAAACACTGTAGCTAGATTTGAATAAAAGGACTTACCTCAAGATAATATGTATAGGCTTTGAAACACTGTATCTAGATTTGAATAAAACTTTGGCTATACAATTGCTATCATTAATTTCAATTTAGCACATTCAAGGAATTGAAGGGTATAAGCTGAACCCCCTTCATTTAGCTGTAGTCAAGCCAATATTGTAAGGGTATAATATTTTTTTCGTTGAAGAATATTAATTTTGAATCATTAGATTATGTGAAAGGTTTTTCTTTCAAACTCAACAAGAGATAAATTGGTTTCTAATTGATTGTTTCTATAGCAACTTTTAAGTGTAACAAAGAGTATATATAAAGAAAAAATTGGTATGGCGTGATTTTTTTTTTAAATGTAAACAAATTATTTCGAAAAAACTCCTCACTTTTTTTAATTCAAAGATAATAAAAAGGTAAGATATTTTTGAACATTAGTAGAGGGTTTTAAAATTATTATAATCGAAGTTATATCATGGATAAACTCAAAAAACCGAAAACTTATGGAATATTTACATAATATCTGGCCATATTCATTGTTTACTTTTCATAGTTAATATAAATAAATAATGTACCGACAACACACGATTATACACATATTATATATGGATTATATAAATTACACATTATTCAATTTTTTAATTTAGTGGTCGGGTGAGCACCTATTTAGGCTGATTAGATAAAGCCAAAAGAAAATTTTGAAATAATTTCAACCAAAGATTAAAAATATAATTAAAGTTCATATGTAGACAATTTTATTCAAACTCATCCTTTTATAGTGAAATAAATTAATTTTTTGTAACAAAATAAATAATGACATACAAAATAAGATAAAAGAAAATAAATATTGAAAAAAATGTTAGATAGATCTAAAAACGAGAAATAAAAGATGACAACAAATTTCTTCTTATGTTTCATCTTTGTTGAGTATAAACAATTTGAAAGTTAATCTCATCGATTTCAAATATATTTTTTCAACTCAAATACATAGATTATAAGATAAGGATATCTTAGAATATTTTTATTAATTTATATTATGTGTCGTTTTTAAAAAATCACTATTACTAACAAACTGATATGATATTCGAATTTGAATTGGTATGCAATTTGAGTAGTTTGCATTGAGGTTAAGCCAAGTATGGTGTCGAAAATAAAATACTTGACAATTATAAGACAATATATGCAATATTTTATAACAATAATCAACTAATTTAACATTTAATGATTCAAAGAACATTTTTTTTTTTTTTGGTATATATAGGGAATTAAAAATTCAAATTATGGGGCTAGAGATATCGATAAACTTTAAAGTGGAGTCATACTGAAATAAAACCGGCCAAAGAATCATTTAAATTTTTAGATAGTCGTAAAGTGAATTTTAAATTAAGGATAATATCTTCACTTGCATCATTATAAAGATAATCATTATTATAATATATATAAAGTTTTAAAAATTGAAATTTCAAAATAGAAATATTTTTTGAAAGATCAAATCATACCAAATAAGAGTTCAAGTCGTAGTATAAGAGTCACGTCGTAATCAAAGAATCGTTTATATCGTGTCAACCTTTGTGGTTTGCCATAAATATGAGTTATTATTTCACTTTGTGGCTATTTTTAGGTTCCAATGACACATATGAGAATAGTGCAAAAATAAAATTATCACTATGAGAATTGAGAAAATGTTAGTCTTTTTTCATGTAGTGTTTCTTAATTAATAACTGACGATTATCTATAATTATTTAGAAGGTTTAAATGTTAAGGTTATTTACATATAATTCAAATAACTCAAACATTTAACATGGTTAATGTCAAATATCAAAATGGAGTAAAAAAATATCACTAGCTAAAGAATTTTTTATATTTTTAGATAGCCAACTAAAATGAGTTTTAAATTAAGAATAATATTTTCAATTACATTATTATAAAAATACTTATTATTGAAAAATAATATTTTAGAAACTGAAATTTTAAGAAAAAAATATTTTTTAAGAGATATTAACACACCAAATAGGAGTTCAAGTTGTAGTAAAAAAGTTAAGTCTTATCCAAAGAGTCATTCATTGTCTCAACATTTGATTGTTTTGCCATAAATATGAGTTATTATTTTGCTTCCTGACTATTTTTATGATCCAATGACACCGGCAAGAATGGTATCAAAAAAGAAAAATAGAAGAAATAATTAATTTTTCTCATGTAGTTAATATCCAATGATTATCTATATTTACTGAGAAAGTGTAAATTTTAAGATTATTTACATACAATTCAAATAACTTAAATATTTGATATGATTAGTGTCCGCGCATCCGCGAGGGTACTAATACTAGTAATTGAGTAAATTCATATTCGCGTCTTAATTTTTTCTCTGGACATGACGATACTTCTAATATATTTTTGACCGATATTTATAAAATCCACTTGAGCTCAATAAAGTTGTGGTTCCAAATTTGTAGTATGTCTTCAATTAATCTTTTACAATTATAATACTTCTAAGTTTTATTTTAGTTTTCAATAACTTTTAGATGCAACTTCAGTGAATAAATAGAGAGAAAGTTTTGAGAATATAGTTAATTGAACTTTAATAGCGTATAAATGCAACTATACAAGCAACATATATAGTAAAAGCATCAATTTTATTGTAACAATTTCTGATGGAAAAGTGACTCTTATAGAAAGAAAAAAAAAGTTATTGAAGTTTAAACAGAAAATTAAAGGAGAAAATGAGATATATAATTTCAAAGGATAAGCCCCAAAAAAAATTCATAATTCACCTTAGTCGACCAACTAAATTTTTCTCTATTTTGAAAAAATAAAGTAGTTACTGTGCCGTTTAAGCATTGCTTGTTTAATAATTCAACAACTAGGTTAATAGTTTACTAGTTTTCTCAGAAACCCAAAAAAAAATGACATTTGGAACAATGGGACCCTAACTAGAAACCCAATCCGACACCATCGTTATTAAATAATTAAATAAAATAAGTTTTGCAAAGAGTCGAAAACCTAAATTATTTAGGATTTGATATTTATTAATTTCTAAATTAAATAAGAATAAAAAATCAAATTATTTAGGATTTTATATATGATAGTTTCTTGAATTCATGTCTATATAGGATTATTAGCAAAATTCATATGGAAATAGGTTTTCTAGTTCTACTCAAAGTGGGATTTACAATATTATAAATAGAGGTGCTAACTATTTCTTGTAGTTAAGATTCACAATTTATGAGTTGAATGAAAAGATCTCATACCCCTTTCTCTTTTTTGGTTTGCAGGATTTCGTCCAAAAAGAAGGTCAATATTCAACAAGTCAATCCCATTGAAAATATATACTTTCTTCGTATACATACTCACATGGTTCGTTGTTTTCTTTCATTGTCTATATATTATTACCAAACCAAGACAACCTTTTATAAACTGGTTCTTGAAATTGACTTACCAAACATAGAACCACTCCAATAATATTGTATCACCCATTCACCCTTTCTCCTACCCTCCTCTGACTCCTCATCATGGGATTTGACGATGATGATCACCCGTTTTGGGATCACCAGAGAACAAAGAAATATGATCTTAACAGCAAGATCATGTTAACAGCCATAATTTCATTATCTATAGTTATTTTCTTCGTTAGCCTCCTTCATATATACGCAAGGTGTGTGCTTAGACGCCAAGCTCGACAACGGGCGGCGCTTCGACAATTAAGCGCCGCCCATGTTGAGCCACCCAAACAAGGACTCGAACCGTCCGTTATAGCTTCACTTCCTGTATTTACTTTCAAGCAAAATACTAATCCTGCATATGGTGGTAAAGAAAATAATTCTGTTGAGTGCACGATTTGTTTGAGCGTTTTTGAAGATGGTGAAACGGCTAGGACTTTGCCTAATTGCAACCACATTTTTCATGTAGAGTGTATTGATAAATGGTTGGTTTCTCAATCAAAGTGTCCAATTTGCCGGACTGAGGCGGAGCCCCGGTTATTGCCGGAGCCCCGAGAGGGCTTTGTAGGCCGCACTCCGCCGCTCGAGGGTGGTGATTCCTTTGTAGCTATAAATATTGAAGGGAGTTCAGATTGCGGATTAACACAGCCTTCATCATCATCATTAGCAAAAAATAGTGGACCAAGTTCGAGATTAAGCTCGTTTAGGAGGATGCTTAGCAGGGAAATATCATCAACACGATTTCAAGCGGTTCAATCTTGTGGTGAAGAAGATGGTATAAATATTGATCTTGAGAGACAATGATTAATATAGTGCAATTAGGTATGTTTTTTTTTTGTTCAAATTTGAATCTCCATGGCTTCACTTCTTAGCCATGGTACCAGCTCTGTCCCATAGCTTTCTTGTATACACACACAAAGTACATGACAAAAATAGATGATTTATTACTCCGGCTACAGTGTTCTACAATTCTTTTTCCATCAGTACATTTTAATCTGAAAGAAGATTTTGGTTACATTAATGAGTTTTGTGTATATCATATATTAATGAGTTTCACTTTTATATATAGAGCCCGTTTGGCTTTGCTGATTTAGAGTAGCTGATAAGTATTAGGTGCTAAGAAGCACTTTTAAGTGCTGAAGTTGATTTAAAAAATAAGCAGTTACGTGTTTGAATAAAAGTGTTGAAATTAATAATATGCAGCTAAAGAAATGGGTATACGAAGAGTTTTGTTTTAAAAAGAAGTATTTTAGGGATCGAATAGTAAATATTTTGGTCAAACTTAAACTGCTTATAAGCTGAAATTTGATAAGTTGGGGGAGACCAACTTATGGCTTTTGGCTTATTTTTGGCTTATAAGCACTTTTAATTTTACCAAACGCGTAGATAAGCCAAAAAGTGTTTATAAGCCAGTTTGACCAGCTTATAAGCTTAGCCAAACACCATCATAGTAAAAAAGCTTTTTACCCTATCAGGTCATTTAAATTTAAAAATTTAATTATAGAATAACTAGCTATTCATAAACAACGGAATTAGTCACCTAAAGAACAAGACAAGCAACATCTTGTAGCAAGTTAAGAGTCTTAACTTAATTTTTTTTAACAAAAATACAGGGTCTACGCAAAAGTTACTGGGTTCCCGGGAACCCGTATCTTACACCCTAGATCCGCCCCTGGTTAAGACTGTACTATCCATTTCTCTATTGGTGAATATAAGTTAAATCCTACAGTACGTCAATAGGAAGTTCATTGCTAGACTGATCACTTCATTTGGTGCATAAAAGGGAAATTGGATTAGCTAAGGTGATTATGATTTGCTAAGGTCCAAGAAATGATTATGGCATTTGGTAACCTAAAGATGAACGTGATTATTAGTCATATTGATTAAAGAGAATCCAAGAATTAGGTGAGGCTGATCCCTTTTTAAATATATATACTGATTGCATGCTTTGCGTACTTTATCAACCATTGACCTAAGCTGTATATATTCAAGTGGCAAAGCATACTAAAATTTGTTCAAAAGCGGCCGGCTTCATCTTCCAAAGTCAGATATTAAGAAAAACAGTCTATTGTCCAACCGTTGAACAAGTTTTTCCTATTTGTGTTTTGCGTAGAATAAACATTGGTACACAAAATTTGACCATAATCGAGCTATTACCTGTTTCAGGTAAGCTGGTCTAGAGTACTTATGATAGGTCCTTAATATGGAAGTAGTAATTTTAAGTTGATTTTGAGCTATATATGTTCTTTACAATATGAAGATTATTTAGATCACATCGATAAAAGTTCTGAATTTTTTCTAACATTTCTTCCTTGCTTGAACTTCATTAATTAACTCAAACCAAGCCTAATACGAGGTTAGTCCAACAAACTAAAAGTCTCACTTAACCAAATAAGCCCTTTCTGGGGACACTTCAGCTTTCTAGGTCCACATATAGTTGCATCCCAGTTTTGTACAATCAGTTGACCCATAGATTTCATTTCAAAAAAGAAATTCTGATGCTACTCATTTTTCCAGTGAGATGATGAAAATGACCAGTTATTCAATAGGATATACTATGTTGACACAATTTATTGTAAAGAAAGATGCACCTCAGCCTTGCACGTACAGTTAGGTCTCATTGGGACTGAACAAAGAGTTCGTTTGATAGAATATACTCGGGGAAAATAATACATGTATTAGCTTTAGTATTATTAATCCCTTATTTGATAGTGTTTATTTGGTATTATCCTATGTATAACCAATACATAGCAAACCATGACATTAGTAATACCATAGTTTTAATACATGGATAAGCATGTAAACACCCTATGCAATGCATGTTATTTTTACACCAAACCAGACCATGTATAAGAAATAATCCCAGCCCTACCAAACAAATACACATTATTCGGTACTACTCTTATACACCCTACCAAACGACCCTAAATAACTGGAATGACAAGTCCACCCGGAATCCAATCCAAGCTCAGATAAGTACCAAAAGGTAGAACAGCTAGCAACTCATTTTAAAGATGAATGCTCAGATTTACAATGGTGGTTCAGACTTGCAATCAAGGAGAAAGTTCTAATTGCAATTTCTAAAGTTAGCATTACATACCACATCTTGATTAACAAATAAGAAGACATATTTTTAGGATATTTCTTCAATTCTGGCCTTCAAGATTTTGGAGAACCCGTGCAACTAACATCAAATACCTGCAGCAGCTCTTGAGCTGCCCAACAAAACTGTTTACACTACACTACATACAGTGGGACTGAGACTAGATTCTTGCGTTGTCACAAAATCAGCAGACTTGGAAACAGCAAATTGATTGCCATCAAGATATATATCCACCTCCTGGGAATATAACTGCTGGTACTCAAATCTTCTGAAGTCGGACCTAATCCCACATTCGTTGACCCACTAAAATTTCCACTCCTATTTTTGCTGCACAACGATGCACAAAGATACCTCAAAAACTGAAGTCTATACCGGAGATCATAAAGCAACACCAAAATACTACAGAAAAGATAGATACTTTTCTAGTGGTTTGAGAAAATCCTACTGATAAATGTGATAAAGCTTGCGATGTATGCAGTGTTTTATCCGATTCAACTGGATTATAGGAATAAGAAGATGATTAGTGCATTCTTTCTGATCCTATCCAACAAAATTAAGGACCATCAACATAACCAAAAAACCAACCAAATAAGGCTCTCATGACTCAGAGGCGGACCTAAAAGAGGTGTCACTGGCAATCATAAAGTTCGGCAACAATTTCATGTATATATGTATGTCTTTAGAAAATAGTGATATATTAGTAGTGGACACCCTACATACAAGGTAGATTTTAGTTAAATTCAAAATGTACCTCCGACAAAATGTACCTCCGACCTTCAAATTCTAGGTCCACCTCTGTCTCATGTTACACGCAAAAGTAGTTCCTAATTAACAAGGCCAATATCGATCAAGAGCAGAGAATAACAACCTTAAAGCATATTGCAACTCTTCTTCATTCTTTTTTCGCAAAGCTAAGTTGTATCCTCGAACATGAATCAAATATAAGCTTTTATTCTATTTTGATTGATTCTAATACTATTCCATTTTCCTTTTTTAAAATGATTAATTACCATATAAAACTCTATTTACTCTACTTTAAGTTTTACTCATAAGATTTAGTAATATACTACTCCCTACCTATTTCCTTTTAGGTCCGTTCCAAAAAGAATGAACACTTTCTAAATTTGAAAACAATTTAGCTTAAATTCCCAATTCTACGTGAAAAGCTTTTATAACCACACAAATACTGTGGATCCCTTTTTGAGTTGTTTCGAACCACAAATTTCAAAAGGTTCACATAAATCGGAGGGAGTAATAAATAATTCACGTTTAAGGCAACAGTAAGATCTTCTAGCACAATCGATAACAGTTACCTGGATGGAAATTTACATCCACCATGACCTGAAAAAAGTTTATACAAGAAAAACAGAAACCAGAAAAACAAATTAAAGAACAATTTCAGTAACGAAATTATACGGATATGAAAGTTCAAAAGTAAAGTACTCACTGGGATTTATAGAAATGAGAGCAGCGGCGTTATCGAAATTACAAGCATCCTGAGTCATACCATGCCTAATGAAGTAATCATTGAAAGCATACGACGCCGTTTTCTGGATGTCGGAAGCATCATAGCAAGGTCCACCTGGCTGTATAGGCCCACAATTAGCACCTCCAGGCCCACAAGCCCAATCAATCGCCGACTGAAGTGCAGCATCTTCTGCGTTGTTCTTTGCCACACACCACAACTCAACCGTACCCCCTCCGCCGCTGCTGCTGCCGCCTTGGGCAGCACAGAGGGTGGAGAGTAGAGAGAATAAAAGGAGAGAAAATGAGAATTTGGGAGACATTTTCTTTGTTCGGTTACAGGAATTGTAAAAGGGAACGAAATGTAAATAAAGAGGTAATAGCCGTTTAAGAAACGGTTATATATATATATATGAAGAATTGGTAGTTAAGACTGAGAAAATAAAAAGACTGAGAATATGACCGTTGGTTTTGTAATAGATAGAGATCTGAAAATTGCTTAGAAAAGACTAGAGAAGACTAGAGAATAGAGAGTTATTGTTCAGACTGTTTTTTGAGACACGACAAAAATGTACACACACAAAACACTTTCATTTGTTGGAATCCAAGTATGATTAGAGTCTTCCTTTTTTCCCCAATAGGTTATAAACCTTTTTTCTTAAGGGAAAAGAAAAGGCAAAGAGGTTCTAGTGCACTGCGACTCAAAATTAAGTTTTATAAAGTAGTTATTAGATCGATTATGTTGTATTGGATAGAATATTGGCTAGTTAAAATCTCTCTTATTCAGAAGATGAAAGTAACAGAAATGATGTTGAGATAGGTGTATGGGCATACTAGGAAAGATATGATTAGGAATGAAGACATCGGGGACAAGGCGCGAGTGGCCTCCGTGATAGACAAGATGCAGGAAGCGAGATTGAGATGGTACGAAAATGTGAAAAGCAGATGCACAGATGCCCCAGTGAGGAGGTGTGAGATGTTGGCTATGGTGGGGCCAAGGAGAGGTAGAGGTAGGCCGAGAAGTATTAGAGAGAAGTGATTAAAAAGGACTTGGCGTACTTTCGGCATGTCGAAGACACGATCCTTGATAGTAGTGTCTGGAGATCGAGGATTAAGGTAGTAGGTTAGTAAGTAGTCGAGTCTAATTCTTTTTGTACCTGTATTGTTTTGTTTTTCTGTACCTGTAGTACGAGCGTATTCTCATATTTCATATTCTTAAATTTCTAATACTATTTGACGTTTCTTGTTTCAGTTATCTTTTTCTGGCTATGGTTACTGCTTCCCTTTACATAGATTTTCCTTTGCCGTATTTATTTACCCAAACTGCTGCGGTTATATTTTTTTTGAGCCGAAAGTCTATAGGAAATAGCATCTTTACTTTCACAAGATAGGAATAAAGTCTAACACTACCCTTCTCAGACCTCCTTGTGAGATTATACTAAATATGTTGTTGTAGTTTCCAAATCAGAAATCAACAACTTAAACACACGCCACTCCTGACTATTTTTTTTTAAAAAAAAAAAGAAAAAACTAAAGCTCTTTTTAAAGACCAAAATCGCAATAAAGTTTCTTCTCGACTTTACCACCACAGCAGAATAATATATGGAAAAGAGAAAGCAAGTCGCATTTTTTTCCTTCCCACCGACACCAACTTTGAAGAGAAGAAAATTGAAGCAAAAACAAAAGGGTGCAAAATGGGAATCTGATACTAGAGTATAATTTTATCGTTATTACCAATTAAGTGCATGGTTCGTCTTTCCCCTTTTTTCCCTTCTCTTTTCTTTAATTCATGGGCCCCTCCTCCCAATAAATTTAGAAAAATTAATGAGTAAGTTTCTTGTATAAAAGAAAATCGATCGGCACATTTTGAACGATGAAGTTTCTCTCTAACTTACCAACAAAGTTGTCGTCGAGTGCTCGTAAGAAAAATGAGTAAATAATATTGAAAAAAATGAGTAGATAATATTGACTAATAAAAAGAAGAAAACAAAAATAACTTATTAAAATACTGTATCGTGGCAAGTCACTGCCTTGAAAGCGATTTCGACCCAACTGAGTGCAAATTGTTAATACTGGCCGCTCCCCAAGGTTCCACATCACCTCCAAACACGTACACTCGTTGTTGGACGTTTAGAATTTGCAAAAAAAATAACTGCCCAGAAAGAAGAGAAGATGAAGGTGTGTTCTGTGTTGGATAATTCACAAAGAAGACTGTCTTTTATAGGCAAAGCTGTTGGATAGTTACAGATGAAAAAATTAATCTGTAGCTGTTACAGAAATTAAAGATGGAGCTGTTACAAAAATTAACCACAACTGTTATAAAAAATTAAACACAACTATTACAGAAAGTAAAGCATGGCAATTACAAAAAAAAAAAAATGAAACGTTATAAAATTCAATTCAAAGAGAATGAATTTGGACATATCTGGTAAGCTCAACACATGAAGATATAATTTTAGCAAAATCAAATTTGGAATAGGTCTCACGCATATCTGGCGTGCAGGGGGGCAAATCGACCCGTTTTGCCTTCAGAACCAATTTCTCATGTGCGCGAGGCCACTCTCTTTTACTAGCTCTTTACAAGCCCAACAAAGACCAATTCAATATAAAGAGAGAAAAAAAGACTTTCCACAACCAATGAGGGACACTTTATCTTTCACAAAAGACAAAGAAGTAAAGAAGAAAAAAGGACCATAAAAAATCTTTGACTTTGCATCACCAAGTATAAATAATACCAACAAAACCCCAATAATACAAAGACAAAATTAGAATAAGAACAATTATGGGCAAAAGAAGGAACATGTACTTAAGTATCAATATCTTTTGATTTGAATTGACACGTAGTGAAATGAGGCAACAACTAACATCCACAAAGTAAAGTACTCTTGAACTGAATGAACATTAGTTGAGACCCCCACAACACATACTATATCCTTAATTTTATGTAAACTCTGCGGTACTAACAAAGTGCTTTTATGGTCATGCACACAGCTTAGGCTCATGAGTACTCTAAAAGACATCCCAAGTCTTTCATAAAGGCGACTGCACCTTTACACTCACATAGGTGATTCCATCAAGTCTATCTACACATAGACCACCTTAACGCTATGGAATCATTAAGAGAAAAATAAGCTCAACCTTATAAAGCACTACCACACGCCATAGGGATAGGAAATATAGTGCATATTGAGGTCTCATATAGCTTCGTTTGACCACAAACGGGTATCCATCATACTTCCTCAATCCATGAGCTTTAGCCCCATCCTCCTCGACGTTTCAAGGATAACTCTCCTTGCCAAATCCTTGGTTAAAGGATCTGCCAAATATCTTTTGGATCTTACATATTCTAAGGAAATAACACCATGTTTCAATAATTTTTTTACAGCACCATGTCTAATGCGGATATGTCTTCTTTTTTCATTTGTACACACTATTTTTGACAATTTCAATTGCTGCATGTGAGTCACAATATAGAGAGACTGGTGAAACTTGTCTTTCCCACAAAGGCATGTCTGCCAATAAGTTTCTCAACCACTTGGCTTCTTGCCAGGCCAACTCAAGAGTAATGCTTCATAGTAGATCGTGCTATTGAAGTCTGTTTTGAAGACTTCCATGAAACAGCACATGCACCCAAAGTAAACACATAGCCACTAGTGGAGCTAACTTCATCATTGTCCGCAACCCAGTTTGCATCACAAAATCCTTCTAAAACACCAGGAAATTTATTAAAATGCAAACACCAATCCATAGTACCTCTCAAATACTTTAGCAAATGATGAAGAACATTCCAGTGTTCACTACTAGGGTTGTGAGTATATTTACTCAATCTACTAACAGCATAAGCAATATCAGGTCGTGTATAATTCATGAGAAATATTACACTACCTATTATCTTCGCATATTTAGTTTGAGAAATACGGGATTCCTTATTCTTTCTCAAGTGTATGTTAGGATCATAAGGAGTTCTCATGGGAGCTACATCAAAATAATTATACCTTTTCAACATTTTCTCAATATAATGAGACTAAGACAGCGAAAAACCATAAGAAGTTCTTTTGATTTTAATCCCTAAAATAACATCTGCTTCTCCAAAATCTTTCATTTCAAATTTAGAAGACAAAAAATTCTTAGTCTCATTATTAACATTTACATTATGGCCAAAGATTAACATGTCATCCACATACAAACATATAATAACACAATCTAATCCTATTGTCTTGGAATTAACACAAGTATCAGATGCATTAACAACAAAATCATTACCCACTAATGTGCTATTAAACTTTTCATACCATTGCTTAAGTGCCTGCTTTAGACCATACAAAGACTTTCTCAATTTGCATACTTTATTCTCCTATTCTTTGATCACAAATCCCTCTGGTTATGACATATATATCTCTTCCTCTATATCACCATTTAGGAATGTTGTTTTGACATCCATTTGATATATCACTAAATTATGAATAGCGGCTAAAGGACCAAGATTTCTAATAGTCGCTATCTTAGTCACATGAGAATAATTGTCAAAGTAATCAATGCCTTTCTTTTAATTAAAACTCCTAATAACAAGTCTAGCCTTGTATTTCTCAATTATACCATCAGGTCTCAATTTCTTCTTAAATATCCACTTGCTACTTATGGGTTTACAATCTTTAGGCAAATCAGACAAGTCCTAAGTGTGATTAGAAACTATAGAGTCTAATTCACTTTTAATGGTCTCTTTCCAAAAACTAGCATCTATTGACCTTATTGCTCCATTATAATCTTAGGGTCTTCTTCTATTAAATAGATTGACACTAATTCATCACTCAAAATAACGAGATCAATATTTTCAGTCAAGAAAGTAGTGATAAATTCATGACCAAAGCTAAGTTCAATCCTACGTCTCTTACTCCTTCTAAGTTCATTTTCATGCACATTAGCAGTAACACTAGAAGAAGGCACAATATGAGAATTAATAGACATAGATATAGAAGCATTATTAGGCACATCACTAGGCAAATTATTTTTCAATAGAAAAACATGCTCAAAAAATTCTGCATCTCTAGATTCACAAATAGAACTATCATTCAAAGACATAAAACTATGCGCAACACTATTTTGAGCATAACCAATGAAAATATCATCAAAAGTCTTGGGTTCAACAGTTACTTGTTTAAAATCAGGTGGACCAACCTTAGCCAAACACCTCCACATTTACATACTTTTCAAGTTAGGGGTAAACCTTTTCCATAACTCATATGGGGTTTTACCTAACTTCTTATGAGGGAATTTATTAAGAACATAGCATGTAGATAAAATAGCTTCCCCCCCCCCCCCTACATATTATCAGATAAACCCAAACTGAAAAGCATAGGATTCATCATTTCCTTATGGGTGGGAGTGTAGGGAGCACTAACCTCATTTATAATACCATTTTTCTCATAAAAAACTTCTAGAGTATTAGTATTATATCCACCACTCCTGTCAGACCTAAGTCTCTTGATTTTTCTGTCTAATTGATTTTGTACTTCTGCCTTATATTTCAAAAACATGTTTTTAGCCTCATCTTTTGACTTAAGAAGATATACCTTAGTGCATCTAGAAAAGTCATCTACAAAAATGACGCAATATTTCTTTCCACCCTTACTAATAGTATTCTTGAAATCTGCTAAGTCTGAATGCACTAGTTCAAGCAATTCTGTCTTTCTA